TGCCATTCCAGCAGGATTGTGAACCATTAAGAACTCTGAGTACGGTTATCCAGCCAGTTATGCACCCACCTTGGCTCAGATACCTCCTCTATCAGCTCCTTGAGTATTCTAGGATGCATTTCATCAGGCCCTGGTGACTTGCAGGCATCTAACTTTTCTAGGTGATTTTTAACTTGTTCTTTTTTTTATTTTACCTTCTAAAACTACCCTCTTCCCACTAGCATTCACTATGTTAGGTGTTCCTTCAGACTTCTTGTTGAAAACCGAAACAAAGTCGTCATTGAGCATCTCTGCCATTTCCAAGTTTCCTGTTACTCTTTCTCCCTCCTCACTGACCAGTGGGCTCACCCTCTCCTTGATCTTCCTCTTGCTTCTAATGTATTTATAAAATGTCTTCTTGTTTCCCTTTATTCCCATAGCTAGTTTGAGCTCATTCTGTGCCTTTGCGTTTCTAATCTTGCCCCTGCATTCCTGTGCTGTTTGCCTATATTCATCCTTTGTAATTTGTCCTACTTTCCATTTTTTATATGACTCCTTTTTTATTTTTAGATCATGCAAGATCTCGTAGTTAAGCCAAGGCAGTCTTTTGCCATATTTTCTATCTTTCCGACACATCGGAATAGCTTGCTTTTGGGCCCTTAACAATATCCCTTTGAAAAACTGCCAACTCTCCTCAGTTGTTTTTCCCCCTCAGTCTCGATTCCCATGGGACCTTACCTATCAGCTCTCTGAGCTTACCAAAATCTGCCTTCCTGAGATCCATTGTCTCTATTTTGCTGTTCTTCCTTCTACCCGCTAATGACACTTCCCTATTGTTACTGGAAATTCTTTGCCTGATCCGACATGCCACACTAGTGGCTTAGAGTCATACTGTGATAGACCAACACACCTAGGACTTTTCTCCTCTTCTGTCATTTCCAGCTAATACATCCTGTGTATGGCAAAAAATCAGGATGTTAGTCCCTAAGTGCATGACATTGCACACGGCCCTCTTAAATCGCATCACATTTCTAATATTCCAGGTTTCAAGGCTGTCCAAAACTTCTCATATGATATTACAATCCTCCTCCATACTGGCAATACCTCCTAACTCTTGTCACCTGCAAATGTGATTAGCACTCTTCCACTTTTTGTGACAAGCTCATTAATGAGAACATTGAATAAGATTAGTCCCACAACCAATCCGAGAGGAATTCCAGCCAGCCAGTTCACCTCTCAGCATGAGCCATTGTAATGAGTTCCTTACCCACCTTTCAATCTCATCTTAATCTCCACCCCCCTCAATAACAATTTTCCATGTGGAACTCTATCAAATGCTGTATCAGGTAAATGAGATTTACTTCTCAAAGAAAGAACTCAGGCTGGTCTGTCGTGATCTATCTTTTGTAAAACCATGTTGTATTTTATTCCAATTATTGTTTACCTCTGTGGCCTTAACTACTCTCTGGAGGGCCAGGATCATTTCTGGTCAGTACCTGGTCAAGCTGGGGAAGCCAATGATCCAACCAGTGGACCAAATTCAGTGATGAATCCTGATCATTTGCCACCCAAGACGTTGCACATAACTAAAGGGAACAATTTTGCTTTCAAAATTTGTTTGAGGACCTTGCATACAACTGAAGTCAAATCACCAACCCCATATGTTTTCTACATCACTTCCTGCTCCCTGCTTGTTTTGTAAGTACAGCTGTTGTATTTGCAATTCTCCAGTCACAGGGTATGATTACCCGGTTTATTGATTCATTAAAATCCTTGCCATTGGGTCCATAATTTCATGTGTCACTTCCTCTAATGTGAAAGGAGGTTATTCAGGCCCTCTGTTTGGTCCCATTAAACTGTCCGAGTCCACTGAGCTGTCTTCCATGCTTGCTCCCATTTGCCACCCTGTGACGGGTCAGCCCCGTCACTCTCGGGGACAGGCACGGGCCGGGGGCGCCCCGAACCAGGAGAGACGCCGACGGGGCTCGGAGACCCGGGCGCCAGGGAGGATCAGCGCCCGCCCGTCCCCACGCCAAGCGTGACGTCACCGGCGCGCCGGGGGAACCCGACGCTTACGGATGACGTGGGGCGAGGCGTCATCAGCCGTCGCTGGGCGGGGGGAGGTGAGCGGAGGGACAGGGCAGCCCAGGAGGAGCCGGGGGAGACCGGGTACTGGCGGCCCTGGGTGAGGTTAAACCCAGGGGGCCGAGGATAAAGGAGAATGGACCGGGGAGAGAAAGAAGTGACCCAGGGCGGGGCCGCGGAACCTGTGAGCAGGGGAGTTTAGGGTTCGCAGACCCCCCCCCCCCCCGTTGTGAGTGAGGACTAGTGTCCTGACTCTAGGGCCCTGGGTCGGGGTCCGGAGCGAGGGCGGGCCCGGACCCCCTTCCCTCCCCCCGCCACTTTTTCCCAGCAAGGGGCAGCTGCCCAGGCGGCGGGAAATTCGTGCGGGGACACCGCACGGCGAGAGTAGCAAGCATTACAGAATCTCGGGAGTAGTAGAGAAGGCCCCCGCGGCAACTGGGTAGGCAAGGGGGGGGGCTTTCCCCCCCCTTTCCCGGCAGGGGCGCCTTACACACCCAATCACTGATCCTCGACTCTTCATTACCCTTATTAAAAATTGAAGCAAAGTACAGGTTGGACCTTCCTAGTCTGGCACTATTGGGATCTGACCAGTCCCAAACAAGGGAGTTTACTGGATTAGGGAAGGTCAATTCTAGCCCCCGGGATGTCAGCCTCCAGACTCTCCCAGGAGGCTAGAAGCGGGACTCTCGGCCCCCAGCCATAAGGCTCCCTGCCCTCAGGCTGCTGGCCCAGCTCCATGCCTGGCCCCGTAGCCGGGCTCTCTGCTGCCTTCCCCCCAAGCACTTCTACCTACAATCGGGCTACCAGCCACCAGTCCAGCTCTGCTCCTGGCCTCTCTGCCACTGGATACCCAGTCAGTCCTGGCTCCCAACCACTGTGACTCTCTGGTCCAGCAACATCCATGGTCCTGTCAGACCATGGATGTTGCCACACCAGAATGGTTCAACCTGTATTCATGTAGATGTTGGGCCATAACTATTATCTTTAATCTCTACCCATCCTCAGTGCTTAAAGCAGTCCCATTTCTTCTCTCCTCATTTTCTTTATATTTAATTAGCTAAAGAACCATTCACTATTGGTTTATTTTCTTTTGCAACATCCAGTTCTGCTTGGCTTTTGGCAGTTCTCACATTTTCCCTATGATGTGAACTGCTAGATGTAGCTTTTCTTAGCGATCCACTTTTTCTTTCAGTCCTTGTGGCCTCTCTCTTAATAATCCTAAAAGAAGCTTGAGATAGTTTGGTCTGCAACCCTTCCCTATAATCCCCCCCCCTTTTCATGGGATTCAGGCTTCAGAGAGTTTCTATAACTTGGACAAAGTAATCCCAAGATTCCTCCACATTCAGATCTTTCAAGTATTTCTATCCAGTCTACTTCCCTAATTAATTCCCTTCATTTTTAAAGTTTTCCCTTTTTGAAATCGCCCTAGCTGTAGATCTATTTTTATTTAACCTTCTATTTAAAGTGAATTCGTGATCACTTGAACTGAGATTGTCCTCTATAATGAGTTCTTCCAGCAGGGCCTTATCACTTACTAGTACTAAAGGTAAAATGGTATCAGTGTTTGTTGAAGGAAGATACTTAATTCTCTCATCAACGAAGCTAACAAATAGCCACGTTAATGGTATAAAGCTATATACGAATTAACTGACCAACTCAACCCAAGTAAGACAGATTGATGTTGATAGATCAGGGCAATGGAAATGCACAGATGTCTGAGGGTTGTACCAACACCTCCAGCTGGACAATGTTCTAAGTCATTTCCAGTGACAACTTCACTTGTGAGGTCATGCTGGAGACATCATTGCTCTTTGCAGGTATAGATGCAGCTATTAAGTAAGCAAATACAGTGACAAACTAAACCAGAGTAAAGCACATCTTACTTTTTCTGATGAGAGGTGGTGCGCCGAGTGCAGAAGACTGCAACAATCACCACTATCACAATGGTGATCACTCCAACAGACACTATGATGACTAAAAGCATGTTGCTATCCAGGGGAGACGTGGGGCTTCCATGAGGACTGTTACTGCCTGGAAGAGGGAAGGCGAGAGGAAAGCACTTGTTACACAGAGCCTTTACTTGAGACAAATCTCCTCACTACAGAATGCGAAAAGAAATGAACAATGGTTGGGAGCCTGAATAAAGAATACAGGGTCAGACAAACTAATCTTGGCTCAGCTGGTGCATTTCCCGTTAACTACTCTTTCTTTTCTCTTCTTATTTAAAAAGTTTCACTTCACCACCTGCTTGTACAATTATCCTTTTCTCCTGTATAACATGTTGATGATCTATTTTCAAATGATAGTACATTAAATATTATGTAACGATACCTACATTTGCTGCTAAATCCATTCTGGGGTGGAGAGACACCCGACGACATCCTAAAGTGGTTCAATAAGTGAGACACTGGCACAGTTAACCTGTGAACCAACAATGTGCCTTCACATTAAAGTGTATTTGCATGAGCACTTCTGATTAAAAGAAGTCCCTGAATGGACCCTAGACTTCAGAAAAGCAAAATGACTTGCAAGGAACTGAGGGACAGGATCCTCTAGGAGGCTTATACAAGGGGGAAAGGAGTTCAGGAAATATTTTAAAGAAGTCTTATTGAGGGCACAGGAACAAGCCATCCCAATGTACAGGAAGAATGGCAAGTATGGCAGGCGACCAGCTTGGCCAAACAGAGAAATCTCTGATGAGCTTAAACACAAAAGGGAAATTTACAATTAGAAGAAACTTGGACAGATCACTAGGGAGGAATATAAAAAGGTGGTAGTCAGGGAAAGTGTGGGACACTTACTGAATGGGGGAGGTAACCCAGGGACCTATGTGGAAAAAGCTGAAGTACTCAATGCATTTTTTGCCTCGGGCTTCACAGACAAGGTCAGCTCACAGACTGCTGTACTAGGCAGCATGGTACAGGGAAGAGTGGAGCAACCCACAGTGAGGTCATGCTCACTGTGGTAAAAGAAGAGTAAGGAGTATTTGGAAAAGCTGGACATGTATAAGAGTATGTGGGCAAACTAATGCATCTAAAATTGCTGAGAAAGTTGGCCATTGCCTTTGAAAAAACTCATTGTGACTGGGGGAGGTCCCTGAGGATCAGAAAAAGGCAAATATAGTGCCCATCTTTAAAAAAAAAAAAGGGAAGGAAGAGAATCCGGGGAACTACAGACCAGTGACTGAGTCGCTGTAAAAATTATGGAGTAGGTCCTCAAGGAATCCAGTTTGAAACACTCAGAGGAGGGGAAGTGATCACTTCAGGAACAATCAACATGGTATCATCAAGGGCAAGTCATGCCTGATCAATCTGATTACCTTCTATGATGAGATAACTGGCTCTGTGGATATGGGGAGAGTGGTGGATGTGATATATCTTGACTTTATAAAAGCTTTTGATACTTTCCCACAGTATTCTTGCCAGCAAGTTAAAGTAATATGGCATAGATGAATGGACCATAAGGTGGACAAAGCTGGTTAGATCATCTGGCTCAATAGGTAGTGATTAATGGCTAAATGTCTAGTTGCTTTGGTATCAAGTGAAGTGCCCCAGGAGTTGGTCCTGTGGCTGGTTTTGTTCAATCTCTTCATTAATGATCTGGATGATGGGATAGATTACACCCTCAGCAAGTTCATGGATGATACTCAGATGAGGGGAGAAGTTGATAGTCTGGAGGGTAGGGATATGGTCCAGAGTGACGTACACTAGGGATTTTCACACACGAGTCGCAGACCCACCAAGGAAAGCCCCTGGCAGGTCTGCGTTGCTTTGTTTACTGTAAAGCTCTGCAGTCACAGAGCCTCACAGTTCTCATTGGCTATGGCTTACCATTTCTATCCAAGGGGCACTGCGGGAAGCAGCTTCCCAGTTGGCACCACTGCCCACAGTGGTTGCATCCCTCTGAGCAGCCCTTTCCTTTCCATGTTCATAGAATCATAGGGTTGGAAGAGACCTCAAGAGGTCATCAAGGAAAACAATCCCTTTCCAGGGATTAGACATAGTAGTCTAGAAGTCTTAGCTGGAGTCGCCCAGGTCCTTCGGGGCAGAGGCTGGTGGTGATGTGGGAGGTGCAGGAGTCAGACTGTGTCACAGAAAACAATCCCATTCCAGAGGCTTCCTGTTTTCGTGGCACAATCAAACCCTGACCTTGCTTTAAGCTAGGGTAAAAGGAAGCTGCATACCAAATTTGGTGGCCCTAGCTCTTACTGTTTAGGAGGAGTTCTTGAACAGACTCGCATATAGGGTGTGTGTGTGTGTGTAAATTTTTCATCCTGATAGGTCTCTGCTGAAATGCTTTATAAATGGCCTTACCACTCATGGGTGGTTTGAAGTCAGGTCCTATATCCAATGGCCGACTTCCTTTTCCTGGAGATCCTAATGCTGTGAAAAAAAATCACATTAATAATTATCAGTTTATGTGATAGCCTTTCATCATCCCCTGGCTATTCATTTACAAAACCTGCATTACCGCCAGTTTTGAACAAGTTTTGTTTTCTTATGGACATAACAAATATACTCCACCAGAGATGTTCCCAACAAGTCCAGCAAACTCTGAGTACCTCTCAACACAGAACCAGTTCAGAAGGGTAACTACTTAATAGGTGGGCACCATTTTCCTCAGCAAGTTAGGCTTTTTCTTTCTTATTACATTTTAAATATCAGTACAAAGAAAGAATGGGTTGCAACCATGAGAGTCAACAGACAGATTAAAAAAAGGGGTTATATTTCTGAACAACAGTGTATAGAACAGCATACCAAGTTCCTTTTCCTGGCCCCAGACTTACAAGCCAGGTTAGGAAACAAACACAGCAGCAACGGGAATGTGTCTTAGACCATGTCAGTCTTGGCTTGTCCATGCCACCTTGCAAGATTATTTTTTTGCCCTCTCCCTGGAAGTGCAACTGCAGTCAGAAAACATCTTTCTCTCTCAGGAATACTGGCTCCAGTTGAAGCAACAGACTGGAGAGACAGCAGAGTTAGTGAGAGACAATGTTCCCTCTAATTTTGATAGCCGATTTACAGAAAAGGAGCTCAGCAACATCTTTACTTTTTAATTTGAAAAGCCCAAATTTGGACTTTTGGGAAAAGCAAAGAAGAAATTGGCAACGTGAACGGTGGAAAAGGAAGTGAATGGTGAGCTCAAACCATGTAGCTTCAAGACAAGTGAAGCAAGTGCTGTGAAAAGTTTCAACTTTTGGCGGCATGTAAAACGTAACCATCCTGAAAACTATGCAGCTCTGGTTACAAGAAGATGAGGCAAAACAGAAAGCTGAAGCGGCTAAATGACGTTCATTAGAGCTCCAGTACTTAGAAGGAGAAAAGATTGTTGAGAGGCTATGGGTTAAATTTAGAGGTGGAAGCAACAGGGGTGATGTTGTAGTTGGTGTCAGCTATAGACCGCTGGATCAGGTGGATGAGATAGACGAAGCTTTCTTTGGACAACTGAGAGAAGTTTCTGGATCACAGGCCCTGGTTCTCATGGGTGACTTTAATCACCCTGACATCCTTTGGGAGACCAATACAGCAGTACACAGACAATCCAGGAAGTGTTTGGAGAATGTTGGGGATAACATCTTGGTAGAAGTGCTGAAGGAACTGACCAGGGGCTATGCACAGCTTGACCTGCTGATCACAAACAGGGAGGAACTAGTAGGGGAAGTAGAGGTGGGTGACAACCTGGGAAGTAGTGATCATGAGATGGTAGATTTCAGGATCCTGATCAAAGGAAGAAAGTAGAGTAGCAAAATACACCCCCTGGACTTCAGAAGAGCACACTCTGACTCCCTCGGAGAACTGATGGGCAGGATCCCCTGGGTTGCTTACATGAAGGGGAAAGGAATCCAGGAGAGCTGGCAGTATTTTAAAGAAGCCTTATTAAAGGTACAGGAAGAAACCATCATGATGCACAGCAAGAAAAGCAAATATGGTAGGCGACCAGATTGGCTTGCCGGGGACATCCGTGATGAGCTTAAACACAAAAAGGAAGCTTACAAGAAGTGGAAACTTGGACGGATGACTAGGGAGGAGTATAAATAGATTGCTTGAGAACGCAGGGGAGTTATCAGGAAGGCAAAAGCGCAATTGAAATTGCAGCTGGCAAGGGATGTGAAGGGGAACAAGAAAGGTTTCTACAGGCATGTTAGCAATAAGAGTGATCAGAGAGGGTGTGGGGCCCTTACTGAATGAGGGAGGGAAAAGCTGAAGTACTCAATGCTTTCTTTGCCTCTGTCTTCACGGACAAGATCAGCTCCCAGACAAATGCACTACGCAACGCAGTATGGGAAGGAGGTGGACAGCCCTTGGTGGGGAAAGAACAAGTTAGGAACTATTTAGAAAAGCTAAACAAACACACATCCATGGGCCCGGATTTAATGTATCCGAGGTTACTGAGGGAGTTGGCAAATGTCATTGCGGAGCCTTTGACCATTATCTTTGAAAACTCGTAGAGATCAGGAAAGATCCCAGATGATTGGAAAAAGGCAAATGTAGTGCCCATCTTTAAAAAAGGGAAGAGGGACAATCCAGGGAACTACAGCCTTACCTCTGTCCCCAGAAAAATCATGGAGGGGATCCTCAAGGAATCCATTTTAAAACATTTGGAAAAGGGGAAAGTGATCAGGAATAGTCAGCATGGATTCACGAAGGACAAGTCGTGCCTGACCAATCTGATTAGCTTCTATGACGAGGTAACTGGTTCTGTGGATATGGGAAAGTCAGTGGATGTGGTATATCTTGACTTTAGCAAAGCTTTTGATACTATCTCCCACAACATTCTTGCCAGCAAGTTAAGGGAGTATGGTTTGGATATATGAACTGTAAGATGTACAGAAAGCTGGCTAGACTGTCGGGCCCAACAGGTAGTGATGAATGGCTTGATGTCAGGTTGGTGATCGGTTTCTAGCACAGTGCCAAGGATCAGTTCTTGGACCAGTTTTGTTCAACATATTTATTAATGATCTGGATGAGGGGATGGATTGCGTCCTCAGCAAGTTTGCAGATGACACTAAACTAGGGGGAGAGGTAGATACGGTGGAGGGCAGGGATAGGGTCCAGGGTGACCTGGACAGATTAGAGGATTGGGCCAAAAGAAATCTGATGAGGTTCAACAAGGACAAGTGCAGAGTCCTGCACTTGGGGCAGAAGAATCCCAAGCATTGTTACAGGCTAGGGAATGAATGGCTAAGTAGCAGTTCAGCAGAAAAGGACCAGGGGATTGCAGTAGATGAGAAGCTGGATAAGAGTCAACAGTGTGCCCTTGTAGCCAAGGTGCTTTAGGAGGAGCATTGCCAGCAGATCCAGAGAAGTGATTATTCTCCTTTATTCTGCTCTGGTGAGGCCACATGTGGAATAGTGTGTCCAGTTCTGGGCCCCCCACTATAGAAAGGATGTGGACGCATTGAAGAGGGTCCAGCAGAGGGCGACTACAATGATGAGGGGGCTGGAGCGCATGACCTATGAGGAGAGACTGAGAGATTTGGGTTTATTTAGTCTGCAGAAGAGAAGAGTGAGGGGAGGTTTTGATAGCAGCCTTCAACTTCCTGAAGGGAGGTTCCAAAGAGACTCGAGAGAGACTGTTCACAACTGTTCTTAGTAGACACGGATGGCAGGACAAGGAGTAATAGTCTCAAAAGACAGTGGAGGAGATCTAGTTAGGATATTAGGAAAAACTATTTCCCTAGGAGGGTGGGGAAGCCCTGGGCTGGGTTCCCTAGGGAGGGGGGGGGAGAAATCTCCATCCCTAGAGGTGTTTAAGTCTCGGCTTGACAAAGCCCTGGCTGGTTTGATTTAGTTGCGGTTGGCCCTGCCTTGGGCAGGGGGCTGGACTTGATGACCTCCTGAGGTCTCTTGCAGCCCTAGGATTCTGTGATTCACTAGAATCTCTCCTGACTGACTGCACAAGTGCACAGCTTACAGGGAACACTTGTGAGAGATCTCACTAGGAAGAGCACATCAAGAATTGTTTCTACTTGGCTAGGTAAGTTGCTCTAGTACAGTGGTTTTCAAAGTATGGGTCGCAGGTATCAGGCACTCAGTCTCATTGCTACACGATGATCAGTTTGGGGTGTTAAGGCAGCTTCCTGCCTGTCCTGGCACTGGGGTGCACTGCCCCCCCCCCCCCCCCCAACCACCAT